CGCAATCGTTCATTTGAAGCACCCAATCCAACCGTTTATACTTATTGGAATTCGCATATGCTCACAAATGTGCGTTGGCCAGAAGTTAGGCTGTCCCTTATTCATTTAGAAGATTGAGCCATGCTTTTGCCGTCTCCACGAAGCGGCACAATCTTGTGAAGTGCTTCTTTGACCGCGCACGGTGAGCTCAATCTCCGGTACCACCCCCAACAGATATAGAGAGGCATAGTAACCGTGAATCACTTTAATAGCGGACCACCGATCGTATCTTGAATTGCTTCATGAGTTTGTGGACTACTGAAGTATTCACTTAGCTCATTTGTTTATCCCGGGTTTTTCTTGACACCACAGCTTATCCGTCAGTAACTTGCCCACTTATATCTGAGATTGAGAGGTAATTGAAGTAAGGCAGATGTTCGACTTTGAATCCAAACGAGCAAGTCGCGCGATTCGCTAGCGATTGCTCACCAATTCTGGCACTTGCCTGATTGTGAGATGGTTGACATGGTTCGGGAGGGGAATCTGGCCCTCAAGTGGGCACACTGGGGGTCAATCCGATATCATATGTAGTGAAAATGTTTTGTTCCATTTGGATGGCGTTTTAGAAGAAAAAGAAAAAATTAGGTTCGACCAGGGGCTGCAAGATCGAGACCTCAGTGTAACTACAAATGAGTATAAACCCAGAGTAACCATCGCGTTTTGTAGTCTAAAGACTCATGGTCTTTGGTATGTTTGTAAGGGAGCTTCCTAGAGCGGTAACTCCTTAATTTTTTCAAAAAGCCCGTTCTCTCCTCAGCCGCTTTTTCGTAGCGCTTCCTTTATTTTCAGACTTTTTTTTTTCAGATTTCAGACTTGGAACACAGTGCTTCGTTCCCACCACACTAGAGCTCTTCGAAGTGTCATTATATGATTCTTCGTGACAGATCTGCCAACGTGGCCGAAAGTGCGCCAAACAGGGCCATTTTTCGGATCCAAAGTGTTCTTCAAACGGAACTACCCAAGCTCTGCTATGGAACTGACAATCGCTGTTTATTTGAGCTAACGTTCAAGTTTCATTGAAATCCTAATATTACGTGCTAGCTTACAAATGGAATTGTAAATTTTATTTTCTGATTTTCGAGGGATTTTTTATTTTATGCAATAATTCTTATTTTAAATC